CAATGTTGCTCAAAGGCTGGAAACATTACTTCTGTGATAGTGAGGAGTAAGACTTCATAAAGGGAAGGAGGCAGCATTACTCAGAAATGGGTATGAGGAATGGGTATGGTTGTAATTTATTTACACTGTACAAAAAAACTACAGCTTTCCAGAGATGCTGAATTGGAGAGGGGGCTGCCAAGACAAAATACCATGATGTGTCAAAATTTGCTTCCTTTTTTTCTTCAAAAGTATGACATTGAAAACTGCTGCTTCCTGGACCCTCAACTCTGATGTGCCTCCCAACTGACTAATATGATGGGAAGAATTTGGAAATTGTTTCACAATGTGTGCACCTGTGAGGTAAATTTTAAATTGTGGCAATGTCTGGACTCTAACTAGACATAAATATTTCCATAGGATTTGGTCCCAATACCTCTAAGTTTATCTCTTGGTACTTCTCCGTACTCCCTGCCCCCACCCTGAAACATACAAAAACAATGCTTCTGGCTGCTTCTGTTTCGTGAATATTTCTGTACTTTACTTAATCTGTCCTTTTTTTCCCATAGTTCTGTGTGTATATATATATATGTGTATATATATATATATATATATATGAATAACTTTCCCTACTAACTGATAAGGTACAGTGTAAAGCTACTTTATCTACAATACGTTTATTTTTTCCACTTCTGAATTCCCAGTGTTGTTTGTTAGGACACGTGTTTGGGGTCATCTTGTGGTCTGCCATAATTATTTGCATTCTTCTCTGCCTCTCCAGTATAAGAAAATCTCCAGTATCTCACAACACAGCCTCAACCAGCTGGGCTCAGGCAATTTTTTTTGCTGCAGCCTTCCAAGTAGCTGGGACTACAGTCGCATACCACACTCCTGGCTAGTATTTTGTATTTATTGTGGAGAGGAGGTCTCACCATGTTTCCCAGGCTGGTCTCGAACTCCTGAGCTCAGGCAATCCTTTCACCTTGGCCTCCCAAAGTGCCGGGATTACAAGTGTGAGCCACTATGCCTGGCAACAGCATAGTACCTTATGTACAGTAAGTATGTACAGAAGCTTATTTCATTGTCAAGATGGCCTTGTATTTCTTCAGACTTCAATATTTTATGGCTTGAAGCATTTAGCCTGAAATTTTTGTGCCTTACCAGAGGTCAGGCTTGGACACATTGGTGCCCGTCAAACCCGGCAGTGAGCAACATCTGTACTTGGTCTGTTCCTAGATGCTCTAGTCAGGGGCTACCCATGGAAGTTGTTCACTCCATCTTGGAAGTCTATATTTTGAGTTTTACCTGGCCTTGCTGAGGAACAGGTAGAATTTCTGAGCCTCATTCAGACTCTCTTTACGATCCTCTGTACGCTCCCGCAGGTCATCCCAGGCCTCATTCAGCTCCACTCGCTGTCGCTGAAGGTCCTCGGTGGCGTCAGGATGGGACTCACTGAGTCGTTCTGCTGTCTCCCCCAGTATGGCCACCTAGGGAGGTACAAGAGTTCTGATAATCTGCCTAGAGTAGCACATGAATGTTAGCAAAAGAAGAGTCCTTCCTGAGTCCCGATATTCATCTCCCTAAACAGATGGCAGTGATGTCCAAGCACATCTTAATACTTTATATACAATAATATCATCCTTTTAATCTACATGATAATACTGTGAGACAGTAAAAATTGACATTAGCATACTTCTTTTAAAGATGAAAAGGGTTGGGGGAAGAGTGGGTAAGTAACTGCTGGTTAGTAGTAACATCAATCAGGGAACCCAAGTTTCCTGATTCTTCATGTGAGGATCTTTCCATAATATAGGCATCTTCTGTGCTTCTTTTTGCTTTCTGTAATCATCCTAAGCTGTATGATGCATCTGAGTGTGTCTGGCAAGCTCTAGAGTACAATTTGGAGTTGGGGTAGGATTAAATTCAGCCAATTCCTGACTGAGGAAACACTACATTATGCTCAGGCGTAGACCTGGACACCCTGGGAATGGACATTTACTATTTGTCCTAAGGTACTTCCCTCCACCTAGCTGCCACAAGTTCTGGTCATGTGAAGCCCACTAAAGAGGCCAGGGGATAGAGTATACTCACTCAGATAGTAGGACTTCAATATGCTTTTCCTCTGTCTTAGGAACTGGGTATAAGACAAAGTTATGATGCAAGATAAAGAGAAACATAAGAACAAGGGACTTAGAAAAAGAACCAAAGAAGGGAACATTAGCATAAGCACAAACATGGAAAGAAAAGTGTTGAAAAAACTTGGAAGAACAAGCCTCACCTTTTCTCCCAGGGGGACGAGGTCTCTCTCAAAGCCCTCATGCTGTCGCTGAAGGGCCTGAACACTGAACAAGTCTGAGCCAGGGTCTGCAGCACTGAGGGCCTCACACTTCTTCTCAATCTGCTCCTTTGTGTCATCTGCTTCTCTGGTACACAAGAGAGGAAAGATTTTAGGAGTAATTATGTGTGCCAGAGTGCCGGAAGCCGCAACCCCTAAAGAGGCAAAATGGAGGTCACCCCAAAATGGGGCAAACGCCGACGGGGAGCAGAGCCCCGGTGGGAAGCGGCCAGGATGGAGGCAGAGCCCCACGGATGCTACTGAAGGGCTCCTTTGGGCCTCGAAGGAAGGCGGGCTGAGGCTTGGGAAACACTTCCCTTGATAAACGAAACAGTTCGCTAGAATGTGCAAGGATGTGGAATTAGCAGTAAACCTATGTATACAAACGTAAAAAGGGCTCAACAGCAAAAATTTCCCCCCTGAAGGGACAAGGGAATGTTTGTACTACCCCCTTTCCCATGAAATTTTGCGACTTTTAGCTAAAAAAGGAAAAACAAGTCCTTCCTCATACCCTTTATAAGTAACAACATTGACAGTTGTGATTGATGAGGAAGTGAGAAACTGAGACAGAGTATCTCCCAAAACAGGTGTTTTCGGGAAAAACAAGTCACAGACATGCCTTTTGATTTAAGAAATATTATAGTTTAATTAGAAAGAGGGTTAAATTTAAAGTAAGGATTAGAATTAAATAAATAACAGTTATCATTAAAAGACAAATGTTTATTATAGATGTAGGTATTAGTTAAATATAAGTAATAGAAGGAATAGGAAATAATTAAGTTTTAAGGTAAACTTAAAATTATACACACTTAATGTAGGTTTAAAATTAAATACATTTAGGATTAGAAGTAAGATTAATTTCATGTATAAGTGTAGATTTAGACGTAAGTTTTGTTTAGAAATATAAAATGTAAAATAGGTGATAAGAAAATAGCAAGTAATATAGATAAGGCAATTAGAATTAAGAAAGTTAAATTAAAAAAAATAGAGTATTAAGAATTCATAGTGGGTAAGGGTGGTTATAAAACAAAAAGTCAATATATTGCTGCTAAAAGTATATATAAGGGTAGAATTAAGAAAATAGATTAGTAAAGGAAAAGAAATAGAATAGCGAAGGGAAGAGATTCAGTTGGCCTAGAGGTCACAGGATGTGGCTGATAAATTCTTGGCAGCTGGTATTTTGTTATACCACTGGTAGCAGGAAGGAAAAAAATGAAACTTGTAAAGGTCAACTTCCCCACAAACAAAAGAAAAAACATGATGTAAACATTTAATGTGTAACATGGGATACATTTTGTGGGTAGAGGGGTCAGTAAAAAAACTATATAAGCTTGTAAGAATTGAATAAAAATTGGTAGAGTCTTGAGCTCTCCCCAGGAAGAAGGATCCTGTCGTTTTCATCTTTTCTTTTTCGCTGCTTCCCGATTCCCCCATCTCAAGCCCTGACTCTCTCCTGGAGCTGGACTCCAGCACCAGAGGCAGACTAGTTGTGCTCATAAGGAAGCTACATCACTGCCATGACCACCACTGTCATCACCATCACCATCATTACCATTATCACCTCTTTATGTGCTAGTCACTTAGGCTCATTTAGTCTTCCTAGATGCATAGTTGTTATACCATTTTCATTACACATATCAGAAAACTAAGATCTACAGAGAATAAATATTTTCTCAAGAATATGCAACTGCTACATGGCAAGGCGTAGATTTTAACCCAGTGGTCTGACTGCAGAGTCACATATTATAGCCATTATATTGCATAGCTTGCCATCTTAAGCTATTCTAAATGATCAGATCTGAGTCTCAGGTTTTCCTTCCCTGCATCTTCAAAAATGTGTTTATAAACAGCGAAGGTGTCTTTTTTGTTTTATTTGTTTACTTATTTGTATGTGTATACATGTTTCTCAATGTAAATGTGGGTTTGAAAATGAAATACAAAAGTGCTGAAGGAGCAATTAAAGCCAATGTGATGTCTGTGGCCCCTTACTGTTTGCTTTTAGTTCAGAAATGTAATTACTTGAATTTTCTTGTTTCTACTTTAAGTTTCAGTTACAATTGTGGAAACATGTAAAGACTACTAATTATGTACCAGGGCCCAAGCCTAGGCATTAGAAAATTAAAGTTGATTGTCTAGGAGTAGTCTATGTGCCAAGTAAGAAATCTGTTACTGAATAATCTGATTTCCTATTGCCAAAGGGTCTCTGTCTCATGAAGAGAGGTCACGCTAATGTCTGTGCTTCTACCATGGTAACTAGACTTGGGGATTTTGTGAGCAAGTCCTAAGGCAACACTGCATTTTAAAATTCTTACCTGTGAAACATCTGGACAGCATGTGCACTGCCAAGCAGCTGCCTCTGTTCATCTGCAAGCCTTTGCAAGGAGCCCCAGCGGGCATTCAATTCCTAACAGAGGCAGAAACATCAGACTTGAGACATAACTAACTCAGATAGCTCAGTGACGTCTGAAGACTAGATGTTATTTAAATAATAGTTGTTCTCATGTTATCTTCTTCAGAAATTGCATGGTTTTACTTCTTTCCTGGATAGCTTGAACTTGGCCCTCATTTTTGCCAGTGCAATAGAGAAAGGGATTTCTTTTCTAAACCCAACTGGTATTCCAAGGTGGAACCATCAGCTCTGGAGCAGAGGTTGATCCTTACTGCCATAGAGACTACATTGTGAACTCCAAAAAATCAGCGGAAAGTGTTTTCTTGGTATTTGGAATCTATCACATTTCCCTAAGACAAACATAATACTTTTAGTATCCTGAATTGGGTAAACCTAATAGCCTCTTATAAACCTATTTCATGTAAGGGATATGTATATTGTTCCCCTGCACATTCCTTTTCCCACTTATCCCATAAAAACTACCATAAAAAGAGGCAGAAAACTCGTCCTCAGGGGTTTATGACTGCCAAAAGAGCTAGACTGGACATTTATTAATGCTCATTGGTTATTTTATGGAACCATAGATCCAGGTCTGACTCGGGCCGAGAATGCCCTCTCCCCATCACTGCTGATTGATATTATTTACCATCAGTAGGTTTATCAGAACCTATCTCTTCCAGTAAACTTTCTTGATTAACTTCTTTCCATTAGTATATCTTCTTAATCTTCATTTTCTTTTATTCATGTATGTAAGAATTTCATGTGTGCGTGGGGGGGGTGGCATGTGTGTGGGTGTGAGATAGTGAAGGGGATATCTGTGTTCTAACATAAAGATTTTAGGTCAGTTTAAATGTGTATACTCCAGAATTTCAATTTAAAACCTACACTTTGGGAGGAAATGGGAGGCAAGAACTTTATGTTCAATTTGATGGAGCCAAATATAGAAGATAAAAGAAAATCTGGAGACTGTGTTATCTAACATGCTTGCTTTTCAGATGTGAAAACTAAGGTCCTTAGAAATAAAGTGACTAAGTCAAAGACACAATCAGACAAAAACAGAGACGGGATTTAAATCCAGTTTTTCTGATGGTCCAGTGCAATATTCCCTAAATTTTCTGATACTTTCTCTTGAAGCTAAATCTGAATTTCTGATAATTTGGTTTCCCCTGCCCCTTCTATGAAAAGATCTATGCAAGAGCACAGAGATAACTAAATACATGTTAATAAATTAATCTCCTGTAATAAAGTTTATTTAAAAAACAAAAATAGATGTACCATTTGGGCTATATCATCTTTGACCTTTCCTGTAGCTAGTTCCATAAAATCATTCCCTTCTACATATTCTAGATGATCTACAGAATATAAAATTAAGTATATTGAAGTGAAATGCGAACACTCAAAGCCTAATCTGGCGCTGAGAAGGGACTCTTAGTTACCTGCTGGATTTGAGCTCCTTCTGGTGTTAGAAGTTGTTCAAACAGCAGATCATCAGCTACCTTGTTGATATCCCTTAGCCGAGGCTCATTGGTCTTCAAATCCTGGATGGGAAAATTTGTACAAAGCAGTATAAGTCCACTACTCAAGAATCCACCACCCTTACTTGTCCATCTCTGCCTGTACTCAGCTAAATATCAAAACATACTGTTATTTTCACTTGAAATATACATCAACCTGCCTTTTTCCAATCTGCCACCGAGAAGTATACCCTTAAGCACCCTGACACCTAGTAGCTATCCAAAGTTTGCCAAGAGAACTATTATTTATCTGGAGTATGAGGCATATCCATTTTTCCAGATTTCTTAAAATCTTCCTTGAATTAAGTTATATCCTCAGATGTATCTATACTTAAACAATGTAACATTCTTTTCAATTATTATGAACTTATTCCATCCCCCACTGAGTTATGAGCTGCCTTTATTAAGAGATGTAAGAAACAGTTCTAGGAAGCACTCTCTCTCATACTCTCTCTCTCTGTCTCTCTCGCATGCACTCTCTCTATATATGTATACGTGTGTGTGGGTATATATATGGGGGGAGGCCCAAAAGACCTGGAATTTATTTTTTTTAACTGTGTATCTATTCTTACATGTTAAAATTTCAGTCATCTTCAAAGTAGTCTCCATTTGATACAATACACCTATTGAGATACTTTTTCTACTGCTCAAAACAGTTTTTAAACTGGTCGATTTTGATTCCTTTTACTGCCTTTGCCATTTTTCATTTCACCTCTTCCACGTCAGCAAAATGTTTCCCTTTGAGGACTTTTTTCATCCGGGGGAAACAAAAATCATTCAGGTGAGACTGGGTAAATAGGGAGGGTAGGACATGGAGGTTTTGTTCCAAAAATGCTGAATGTTCAGTGCAGTGTGGGCAAGTGTGCTCATAAATCACTCATCATGAAATAAGCAAATGTGTTGAAATACTCTCCAAAAAAAAAAAAATTTATCTGAAGCCAAATGCAGCCTCTCACAACACTAGCTGGTCCACTGATGCTGATGGGTTCCCCCAAAACACGTAACAAATGGGGGAAGCCTGTACTACAAAAGGCACTGCTATAAACACACACACACACACACACACACACACACACACACACACATGTATATTATATATATATATATATATATATACATTAAAAATCTGTATCTATATCCTTTAATTCCATGTAGGAGATACCATAGAAAAAGAAAAGAAGGAAGTAATGGATAATGCAGCAAATTTGAGAGAAGATAGGATGATGAGAGGGCTTAGGTAGGCAAAAATTTAGAAACTGTATGCTGGCTGTAAAGTCAGGTTGTTTTCTCTCTTTTCCCACCCCAATCTATGTCCCACTATTTTACTTTGCATACGATCCCACAGTACCTCATCTCAATGTGGGCATCAGGAACACAGTATGGTAGAGGGCAGGTTTTGAAGAATTCAGAGAGATGAATACTCCAGCGGGACTTTGGAGTAGCAGAGAAAAGAGGCTACAGAGTTAGGGTATCTGAGTTTTTTTTACAATTATCTTCCAATTGTTGGCAACTACCATACCCAGAAGAAGCTCTGAACTATGGAACTCTCAATAGCTTTGGGGAGGGTACATAAAACGTGTAAAATAAATTAAAGGATCATTTAGGAATATATATGAAATTTTAAAAATTATAACCCTCAGAAAGGTGTCTAGAGAAACTTCCTCTGTCTCACCGTTTGAAACTCATCAAACTTTTTCTGTAACTCCCAAACATCATCCAGTTCCACGCCAGTGTTTTCTGCCTTTTTCACTCTAATCCAGTCCAGCATGTCTCCTGTCTCATAGGCCAACAAAAATTCATTGTAACGTTGCAGTAGACGACGCCTGCGTTCTTCTGCCCGATCCAGGAGGGAGAGGTACCTGGAGGAAGTAAAAAGAATGGAAAAAGTGAAATAAAAAATAAAGAGTAGTGATAGAGTAAGAAAAGTTGAGAATGAAAGAGGCAGAAAGGAGAGGGAAAACATTTTTTAAAAGAGAACAGCAGAGGAGAGGAGGAAAAAAAGATGAAAAGAAAACAGACTTGGGGGAGAAAAAGAGACAAACACATAGAATTGGATTTATGACCCCTACCTATCACCATACACAAAAATCAACTCCAAATGGATCAAAGACCTAAACATAAAACCTCAAACTATAAGAATCTTAGAAAACACAGGAGTCACCCCTATAGACATTGGAATAGGCAATCAATTTCTGATCATAACCCCAAAAGCCCATGACATAAGAGATAAGATAGACAAGTGAGACCTCATCAAACTGAAAAGCTTTTACAATGCAAAAAAAAAAAAACCATCAAGAGAGTGAGGAGATAGAATGGAAAATAAATATGCCTAATAAATATATCTGAAAAAGGCCTAACATCCAGGATTTACAATGTACTCCGATGTACCAAAAGAAAAAAAAACAGTCTATAGAAAAGTGGGCAAAAGGCATGAATAGTCATTTCTCAAAAGAAGACAAATGAATAGCCAACAGATACATGAGAAAATGCTCAGCCTCACTAATCATCAAAGAAAGGTAAATCAAACCCACACAGATGTCTCCTAACTTCAGTCAGGATGACCATCATTAATAACTCAAAAAATAATAAAAGCTGAAGAGGATGCAGAGAAAGGGGAATGCATCATCGCTGGTGGGAGTGTAAATTAGTACAACCTTTGTGGAAGACAGTGTGATGATTTCTGAAAGATCTAAAAATTGACCTTCCATATGATCCAACAATCCCAGAGGAATTCAGATTATTCCACAAAAAAGATACCAGCACACACATGTTTATTGCAGCACTATTCACAATAACTAAAACATGGAACCAACCATGTTGCCCATTGAAAGTAGACTGGATTAAAAAAAGTGGTACATATACACAATGGAAGATTATGCAGTCCTAACAAATGACAAAATTATGGACCTCACAGCAACTTGGATGGATTTAGAGTCTATCATACTCAGTGATCTATCACAGAAACAAAGAACTGAATACCACATGTTCTCACTTGTAAGTGGACCCTGAACATTTATCATGATACTACAAGAAAGGGATTGTGAGTAGCAGGACACTGCTGAGGGGGTGTGGGGCACATAATATCACTTAGGGGACCTGATCCTAAACCAGGCGAAATGAGGACCAATGGGAGGCCCAAACTTCACCTGTACATACGCCTATACTTATGTACCTAATCCTGACTTGTAAGCCGCATCCTTAAAATAAAAAAGTATACACACCTCCTACCATACATAAGGTGATATATTACTGATATTATCGAATGAAATAAAAAGTGTAAAATGTTGACAAAAATAATAATAAATACAATGACCCACTAGTATGACTGGCAACAGCCCTTTACCCTTCTATAAAAAATAAAGCTTCTATATGCCAACTGACCACTAGATAAGAAACAGTCTGGTATAGTAAACAAAGTTAATTTGGATATCTGGAGACTTTTTAAATAACCTTGAAAGAATGCAAGGCAAGGAGTCAGGAGACAAGGTTCTATTAAGTGACTGACCTCGGACAATAGATTTAATGGTTCTGGAGTTGTCTTTTTTGGTTAAAAAGAAACAGAAGTATTTAAAGGATTGTAGGTTTGTTTTCAGTTTTTAGGTTTGTGAATTTACTATGGCATCTCTAATCTAACAGATGCAAATAAAAATATTTGGCTACTGTCCCGAGTTCTCCAGACTCTAGAACTTACTGGTTCTCAATCTGCTCCTGGCGCTGGGTGATGTTGTCTGGCTCTTCTCGCTGCCGCAGTGGGAGCATCGGGAACTCATCATGAGCCAGTTTCCTGACATAGACAGCTGGGACAAAACCCTGGTGATCATCAGCTTCAACCTTCCACCAGTCCTACAGGAAGAACAGACCACTACTCCTTTCTTAATTCTTGGAAAAGCCACAAATGGGAGAGGCTCTAGCACTTACTAGGTTTCTAGGTACAGGCACAAGCTGATGGCCAAGAGAAGCTAAAAATCTCTTGTTAATGGTTCATAATTTTTGTGTGGTACCAAGAAAGTAAGTGATAAACTGCAGGTATTGCAGAGACAAGAGTTTGAAATCAATTAATTTGACATTTAATGAAAGGTCCTTCACTTTGGGGAGATTTTTGAACACCAAAAACAGCTGTCTTAAAGATGAGGCACTTTCTTTACCAGGAATTTACAAAAAAAATCACTTGAAGCCGGAATCCAACTGGACTTTTCTTGATGGTGGAGCATGTGTGTATGACAACCTTGCACAAAAATGTCTTTTTCCCCATCACTCTTCCTGAGTTCCTAAAAACTGAATTGCCCTGTAATTCATATATGTGAAAGCATTTTTACTGTTTTTAAAGTGTTGCTATACTAACTATTCTGAAGTTAGTTTCTTCGAAGAACAATATGATGAAATAAACAGGCCTAAGCAAAGGTTGAAAGAGACTGGCACACAGCTTGTTTGATAATGAAATATCTTGCCTCTCCAAAAATTCATTTACCTTCAAAGTAACAACATTGCAAATTCTTTTCTTTCAAGAATTTTTGGAGATACATAAGTACTTATGAAACATATATTAAAAATTTCAACCAATATTTTATCACTGTTCTCACAAGCATAAGTTCTGAAGAAAATCAATTCAATAAAAGACTTGTCTTTTATCAGGCTACTTCTAACCCCAGACATTGTTGTTTTATCACTAAGAATACTGACCCAAAAGAGGAACAAGTTAAAGGAGAGGAGAAAGGGACATACCTTCTGCATCTTTGGGCTAACTATTTAACTTTAATTCTTCATTTCTTTCACTGTAAAATTTAGATTTTACTTCCAAAATATAGGAATAGAATCTATCCCAATATCTAGAAGAAAGAAACTACTCCATTAAAATTATTTAAGAGATAAAGTGATTTTTAAAAAATGGTGGGTAGTGAAAATGTGAGCATCTAGCAGGACTGGGAAAGCCAGTTCTGAAAAAACCACTTTTTTGGTGAAAAGAAGATTTAATGGAAAAGTCACCTTATTGATGGAGCTGAGTAGAGTTAAGACATCATCTTTCTTCATGGTGACTTCTCGGGGGCTGCGAGCCTGGAAGTCATACAAAGCCACGACCCTCTCTTCTCGAGCTTCTCCCTCCACTGGTGCAGCCTGCTGTTGCTGAACAAAAACAGGAAGCGATGTCAGTGACCGACTGGAAATATCTCCAGCAGAGCCTTCTATTGATGGGCAATTCCTGGGGCCTCGTAGGAGAGAGTGTCCTCTAGCTGGAATTTTTTACATGGCTGTAG